ATATATATATATATATATATATATATATATATATATATATTGGTTATCCGGTCATCCCACCGGACTTATGCAATGCAGCGTAAGCGGCGGTTGTTGAACGCCGATGTTTCGTTTATTTTTCTCCCGTTTCGGCTGCCCCAACATCATATAGCAGCTACAGAATGCACTCGACGGCTCACAAACGGATGGATGTCGCGGAGGTGCCCTAGATGTGTGCATATCAACTTGTTATACATCAACCGAGCTGTCTTTGTGTTTCGTAATTCGTTCGCCGGAGGGGAAACAGCTTCCTGGGTGGGAAAATGTGTTTACCATCGCTAGATCCCCTGGGAGATGGAACAACCCATTCTTGTGGTAGAGTTGTACACTGAAGGTGCAAAACGCATTCTGAAAGTACCAACAACAACACTAAAAAACAGAAGAACTTACAACTCTCCAGGATACATATTCGACAGGACTGTGCACTTATTATCAGAAAACGTGACACCCGGTAGCCTAAGAGACATTTCAAGCTACGGTACACGTTAGACTAGACCGGAGGCAAAAAATATCGCAGAAACCAAACGAAAATCACTCACCCGTTGGTACGTTTCATTAGTCAACACAAAAGTGAAGTAGTTGGTTTGCGGTGGTTCTTGATCCACCGACCAGGACTCAATGGCTGCACCCCAAGGAAGACAGAAGTTAGCCACCTGCCGAATATCCGGATCTAGGGTAGCTGTGAATGAAACAGATTGGAACGATTTGATTGCAAGAAAACAACCAACTAAACACTGCACAGATAAGAAAATGTCGGGAAGATGAAACAATATTCGCGTAGATTATACGATACAATTGCGACATTATAGATATACGGATTTCGAAATTATGCAACAAAATACGATTCAAGCTTCAACAAAATAATTTTATTTTACTCCTGATAGGGAAACTCCATTTTCCCTAAAAAGACTCGATATTTTCTGATTCTCTGATCATATTTTTAAATTACCAATTCCCTTATAACTGCAAAACAACTCCAGGGCTCAGGCTTCCAGTCATCCATAAAAAATATGTTTCCAAGTGCCACAGGGTTGGCTTCCAGTATCCCACTCCCCTAGAACAACCGAAAGGTGAAACAATCCCACCCTGTCCGTTTCTCTTTCCACCAATAGTCTCCACCTCAATAAACCTCGTTTATAGTGAGTATTTTACCTCTATATTGTCCCTTTTAACAGTATATATTTTGACCATGTTAGGAATCAAACCAGGTGTGATAAAAGAAGTAAACCGGTTGTGATTATTGATGTACAGCACCACAATTACAATAATTGGCGAAGGAGAATAACTGTCCAAAGATTTTATACGAAAAGCGAGGTAGACAAGCAGTTTGCTCCGAAAGAAGTATGCGCTTTGTAGGAAAACAGGATGAAGGATGTTTGGGATTCTCTCAGACCTTTTGATAGGAATCTATAGAAGAAAGCTAAGTGTGAATAATCTGTATGACGTTTAGTGAATATAGTTCAAATACTTGTATTTGTATCTGCAACCATACGCAGAGACACACAAAGTACCGAAGCTAAGGTATAGTAAAAAGAGGAAAGCGATTATCTGTATCACACAACCGGCTCGAATTCTTCCGCGGTACTCTTGAAGGGGGAACTCCGAACGTGCTTTAGTCGTCCTTGGCTAACTCAGTAATTCAGTGTGGTGTGACTGGTTCCCTCTTCCTGAATATCTCGTCAGAAACATTGTTCACAAACTATCGAAGGAATTCAGCGCGAAATAGTATTCCCCGAATCAGTTGAGTCTTTTCATTTGATGCATCACCGGCTCTGACATAACCAAGCAGCAGAATATCACAAGATACGCACAGTGCACTGGAAGGAAGAAGGATACCATGGGGCACAATCTTAATGTGAACACACATTTTTGAACCAACACAGTCATGAAAAAGTAAGTTACACAGCCCTATCCGCCAGGGGCTCCAACCCATTGACCGGAGGATTGTGCAGAACAAGGATAGAACCAGAAGAAACATCTGTCTGTCTTCTAATCTTGCAAACTAATAAAAATAGCTTGTTATAATTATCAATATATTTGCTTTGCTGTTTTTTTTCTTGTTTTGTTTTTTATTACAGATCTTAGTGTGATGAAAAGCCCCCCACAGTCACGCGAACCTGTTGTTCAGTGAAGCCGGCAATCTAAGCCCCGGGACTCGGAGTGACGAATCACATAAAACCCCTGTTACGAGCGATAACAAACGAGTACGGTCGAAATGAGCGACAGAACGCGCCAACCGGAAGAACACGCTTTACTCGTCTAATAAAATCGGTACATGGGCTGAAAAATAAAGGGATGACGTGAGTAACAGCATACGGTAACAGAACGAATGGTAAACACGACATTCGCCCAGCCCGAGAGAAGGAAGTTCGCTTTACAATATCGTTAAAGACTATAAATGATTTGGAAGCATAGTTTCCCCGTAACGAATTTGAATAAAGAAGCCAAAAACACAGGTTCGCACAATGTATCCTGAATCATTTCGCTGCATCTGTACACGTGCATTAATGATTTGTTTGGGAGAAAAAGGGAAATGACAGAAGATAACTAAGCTTCTCTGTTTCTGACATTGTAAGGTCTCGTCCTTTGTTGTTGTAATATTTCTGATGCAGTGTCAGGTACAAGTGTCGGGGCTGGGGANGGGGAAGTGTCAAAAATCTCACGATTAAGTGAACTGTCCATCGATCTTGGAGGAGAAGTTTCTAACTCTGTTTCACTGCCTATCAGGTCACAAGTTTCTGGTCTCGAGACGAGTAGATCACCCGGTGGGGCCAAGCGTCGAACGGAAACGTTTTCTTCCCTGCCGTCGGACATTTTCAAGAGAGCATAATGTGGATTACAGCTAATGAGATCAACTTCGTCTACCAAGTTGTCATACTTCGAAG